GGATCTCTACGATGAAAATTACAAAACCTTAAAAAAAGAAATAGAAGAGGATACCAAGAAATGGAAAAATCTTCCATGCTCATGGATTGGAAGAATCAATATCATCAAAATGTCCATTCTCCCAAAAGCAATTTATAAATTCAATGCAATACCAATCAAGATACCGAAGACCTTCTTCTCAGATCTGGAAAAATTGGAGCTGAAATTTATATGGAGGCACAAGAGACCTTGAATAGCTAAAGCAATCTTGTACAACAAAAACAAAGCTGGAGGCATCACAATACCAGATATCAGGACATACTACAGGGCAGTTGTAATCAAAACAGCATGGTACTGGTACAGAAACAGATGGATAGACCAATGGAACAGAATTGAAACACCAGAAATCAACCCAAACATCTACAGACAACTTATATTTGATCAAGTATCTAAAACCAACTCCTGGAGCAAGGACAGTCTATTCAATAAATGGTGCTGGGAAAATTGGATTTCCACGTGCAGAAGCATGAAGCAAGACCCCTACCTTACGCCTTACACAAAAATCCACTGAACATGGATTAAAGACCTAAATCTATGACCTGACACCATCAAGTTACTAGAGAACAAGAGACCCTTCAAGATATTGGCGCAGGCAAAGAGTTTCTGGAAAAGACCCGGGAGGCACAGGCAGTCAAAGCCAAAATCAACTATTGGGATTACATCAAATTGAGAAGTTTCTGTACTGCAAAAGAAACAGTCAGGAGAGTGAAGAGACAACTGACAGAATGGGAAAAATTATTTGCAAACTATGCAACAGATAAAGGGTTAATAACCAGAATCTACAAAGAGATCAAGAAACTCCACAAAAACAAAACCAACAACCCAATTAAGAGATGGGCCAAGGACCTCAATAGACATTTTTCAAAAGAGGAAATCCAAATGGCCAACAGGCACATGAAAAAATTTTCAAGGTCATTAGTAATCAGGGAAATGCAAATCAAAACCACAATGAGGTTTCACCTCACCCCGGTTAGAATGGCTCACATGCAGAAATCTACCAACAACAGATGCTGGCGAGGATGTAGGGAAAAAGGGACACTAACCCACTGTTGGTGGGAATGCAAACTGGTCAAACCACTATGGAAGTCAGTCTGGAGATTCCTCAGAAACCTGAAGATAACCCTACCGTTCGACCCAGCCATCCCATTCCTTGGAATTTACCCAAAGGAATTTAAATTGGCAAACAAAAAAGCGGTCTGCAGCCTAATGTTTATTGCAGCTCAATTCACAATAGCTAAGACCTGGAACTGACCTAAATGCCCATCAACGGTAGACTGGATAAAGAAATTATGGGATATGTACTCTTTAGAATACTATCCCGCAGTAAGAAACAACGAAATCCAGTCATTTGCAACAAAATGGAGGAATCTGGAACACATCATGCTGAGTGAAATAAGCCAGTCCCAAAGGGACAAACACCATATGTTCTCCCTGATCGGTGACAACTGACTGAACTCCAAAAAGGAAACCTCCTGAAGTGAAATGGACACTATGGGAAACGGTGACTTGATCAGCATATCCCTGACTGTTAATGAACAACTTAATACATTATCCCTCTTAGTAGTTTTTTTGTCTGTTCTACTTAATATGACTGGTTTAATTCTGTAATTAATACACAGTTATTCTTAAGTGTTGAAATTTAATTAAAATGTGATCCCTGTTAAACATAAGAGTGGGGATAAGAGAGGAAAGAGATGTACAATTTGGGACATGCTCAAGCTGACTTGCCCCAAATGGTAGAGTTGGAAACATACCAGGGGATTCCAATTGAATCCCATCAAGGTGGCATGTACCAATGCCATCTCACTATTCCAAGTGATCAATTTCAGTTCACAATTGATCATAATGAAAGGACTAAGAGTCAAAGGCAGCACATAAACAAGTCTAGTACCTGCTAACACTAACCGATGGAATAAATAAGGGGGAGAGTGATCCAACATGGGAAGTGAGATACTCAGCAGACTCATAGAATGGCAGATGTCCTAAATAGCACTCTGGCCTCAGAATCAGCCCTAAAGGCATTCGGATCTGGCTGAAAAGCCCATGAGAGTATTTCAGGCATGGAAAGCCAAGACACTCTGGCAAAAGAACTCTGAGAGTGAGATCCCAGTGGAAAGAACAGGTCTTCAAAGAAGGAGGTACCTTTCTCTGAAGGGAAGAGAGAACCTCAACTTTGACTATGAGCTTGTCTAAACAAGGTAAGAATCGAAGAACTCAGAGGGCTTCCATAGGCTTGGAAACTCATGACCGGAGCATAGGGAGACTACTTTGCCATAGACAGGAGTGTCAATTGATAAAGCCAACAACAGGAGTCACTGTGCACTTACTCCTCATGTAGGATCTCTGTCCTTAATGTGCTGTGTATTGAGATTTAATGCTATAACGAGTACTCAAACAATATATTTCACTTTGTGTTTTTATGGGGGTGCAAACTGTTGAAATCTTTACCTAATGTATACTAAACTGATCCTCTGTAAAAAAAAAACACACAAAAAGAAAAGAAATTGTCAACTCCCAACTTGACTCTCACTGGGATTAAACATGACAATAGGTCTGATCTGATTTCATCATTATTTATTATTATTTTTCACTTTTTGTTTTTGTGTGAGCAAACTGTTGAAATCCTTACTTAATGTATACTAAGCTGATCTTCTGTATATTAAGATAATCGAAAATGAATCTTGATGTGAATGGAAGGGGAGAGGGAGTGGGAAAGGGGAGGGTAGTGGGTGGGAGGGACGGTATGTGGGGGAAGCCATTGTAATCCATAAATCGTAATTTGGAAATTTATATTCATTAAATAAAAGTTAAAAAAAAGACATTGAAATAAGTAAATAAGCCAAGCAAAGAAAAAATATTGTAAGACTCCACCCAAATAAAGTATTTAAAGCAGTCAAAATGCTAGAAAGTAGAAATGTGGTCATGGATGTCAGGAAGGATTTATTGTTCAATGACAAGAAGATATACTAGAGATTCATTGCACAACAATGTGTTTCTGTGTGCACTACCAAACTGAATATATAAATGTTAAAGATGGTAAAGTTAATATCATTTGCCTTTATCATAATTAGAATGAGTGTAGTTTTATTTTTCTTGTGAGATGCTGTATCTAAGTCCTCTTGTGCCTTACCCTAAAAATATGACTCTGCCTATGGTCTTATGTCACTCTGAGATTGCATGTGGGCATGGTTGGTAACAGGTCATTCCCAGGAGGATGTTGGGCAATCCATGACTGGTGTGTCTAGGAGTATTGAGAAACACTGCAAGCCCATGTCTCTTTTCTCTTCCCCCAATCTTTTCTGTGTAGTTATCAGAATGCCTTTTCATGAGAACACAGGAAACCCTAGAGGACTCTGGTGAGTTCATAACAATGCAATTGCAGTGTCTTATGAATGGGACTTCCATTTGTCAGTAAATGAACAGTTTCCTTATCTTGGCTGAAGACTTTCAAGTACACCCAGGAAATGTTAATTCCAATTTTACTTCACTAAGACTCTGGTAAGTGTATATAGCAGTGCAGAAAAGAATCAAGTATGTATAACGTTCCTCACTTTTTTTTTTTTTTGACAGGCAGAGTTAGATAGTGAGACAGAAAGAGACAGAGAGAAAGGTCATCCTTTTCCATTGGTTCACCCCCCAAATGGCCACTAGGGCCAGTGTGCTGCGGCCAGCATAACGTGCCAATCTGAAGCCAGGAGCCAGGTGCTTCCTCCTGGTCTCCCATACGGGTGCAGGGCCCCAGCACTTGGGCCATCCTCCACTGCACTCCTGGGTCACAGCAGAGAGCTGGACTGGAAGAGGAGCAACTGGGACAGAATCTGGTGCCCCAATCGGGACTAGAACCCAGGCTGCTGACGCCACAGGCAGAGGATTAGCCAAGTGAGCTGTGGTGCCGGCCAACATTCCCCACATTTTCACTAACACTTCATTCTCCATTAGAATGTTTTTGCAGAAAAGGAACATGAGAGACTGGCATTTTTCTTTTCTATCCCATCGTCTTGGTGAGGAAATCATCCTCTATTAACTGTGGCAGTGACTGTAGTGGGCTGTGTGCTGTGAGCACAGGAGACAGCTGAGTGAGAGAAATTCAGTGCCCTGTGGAGGCAGCACCTTCCTCAGCAGGCTCAATAAACACAGTGGTAAAAGTGCTGGAAGAGGGCCACGTAGCATTGATGGAGGAGAAAAGAGGGGTTAGAGTAGGCAACAAGAAGGAATCATGTGTTTGTGTTCAAGTTTTAAATCAGTAAAAGTTTTATTTAGGATTTAATGGAACATTTTGATAAATTCTTAAAATAATTAACTTTCCTTCCTGTTTCCAGCAAACCTGTTTGCCCCTTGGTAATTAGTGTTTATTACAATTATAATATAGTTTAAACTTATTTGAGAGACAGAGAGAGACAATTACACAGAGAGAAAAAGAGCTCCCATTCACTAGATCAATCCCCAAATGTCTGCAATCATTAGGACTGAGCCAATACCAAAGCTGGGAGCCTGGAACACACATTGATGCCCAGAACCCAATTACTTAATCCATAATGGCTGCCTCCCTGGGTGTGCAGGAAACTGAAGTCAGGTATATCAAACCCAGTCACTATGGTTAGGTTGGAAGTATCTTAACTATTAAGCAAAATGGATACCCTTCATTCTCAAAATTTTTAAAATTCATGAAGTTTATGGCAAATATCGTTTCCTTACTTTTGGTCATGTAGTTAGTACATAACAAAAAAAAGTGGGATAATGTGAAAATTTTTGAGTGACTAGTGAAGTCACATTGAATTGAGTTTTCTTCTATCCATTTAACAGATAAATACATTAAGATACAAAAAAATGACAACTGGTATTTGGAAGCTCCAGAGAAGAGAACAGGAGGTCTCACCTCCTGGAGAGACCACAGGAAGTCAGGTTATGACCATCCTTTTCTACAGCAGTCTTAGGGTTCCAGGCCTATCTTCTGACTGTACCTTATTTTTTACTGTGAACACATGGCTGTAGAGATGAGGGAAGCTGCACCCACTGATGTCCATGGTGTGTTTAGACCATATAATCCGCAGAATGCTGAACACTGTTTCATCATCCTTTGCCACCTTAACAACAATAAGAAAAAAAGACAATGGTTAGGATGCCAGCATCCCGTATTGGAGTGCCACTTTGAGTACCAGCCAATCTGCTTCTTACCCAGCTTCCTACTGACATGCCTGGGAGGACACCAGATAATGGACCTAAGTGATTGGACCCCTGCTGACCACCTAGAAGACCCAAATGGAGTCCCTGACTTTTTAAAAAATATTTATTGATTTGAAAGTCAGAGTTACACAGAGAGAGGAGAGGCAGAGAGTGAGAGTGAGAGAGAGAGGTCTTCCATCTCCTGGTCCATTCCCCAGATGGCTGCAATGGACAGAGCTGTGCTGATCCAAAGACAGGAGCCAGGAGCCAGGAGCTTCTTCCGGGTCTCCCACTTGGGTGCAGGGACCCAAGGACTTGGGCCATCCTCCACAGCTTTCCCAGGCCTTAGCAGAGAGCTGAATTGGAAGAGGAGCAGCTGGGTCTTGAACTGGCGCCTACACAAGATGCCAGGGCTTCAGGCCAGGGTATTAACCCACTGCGCCAGAGCACCAGCCCCATCCCTGGCTTTTGATTTTGGACTTGTCTACCCCCAGGTGTTGCAAGTTTTGTAGAGTGAACTAGCAGATGGATGATCTCTCTCACTCACTCACTCGCTTTCTCTCTCTTTCAAGTAGATGAAAAATAAATACACATAAAAACAGTGTTTTAAAATGTTTGTTTTTGATTCTGGGGACTAGCATTGGAAAGGTATTACTTTGTGCCTAGTGCTGTGCCAGGACTTGAGCCTACTGTTAGTTCTTAAAGACTGAAACAGAAAGCAACAAGACTCTGGTCATTTTTCCATTGGAAATTTTCAGAAGAGGGTAAGCTTTCCATTAGAACCTCAGCAGCCCCTGTCTGAATGAACCACTGTGTTTGTGTCAGGTGTTGCATTTTTACTGATAATATTTATATGCACATGCTGTAGAGTTATATATACATGTGTTTATATACTCCTGTTTGGGAGATTTAATAATTATTCATGTCTATATAAGTCACTTGAAAGTAAGATATATCAGTATATGTGTAAGTCCATACATAATGGAGTGAACTTATGAGTGTCTTCCATGTTATGGTGAATCATCTAGTGAGAAATATGTTTGAATAAACATGCATTTCATAGACTCTCCAGGTATTTTCATTGTAATGTGTACATTTGTTATCTTTATTTATACATTTTAACAAACATATACCTACATATGTGTGTCATTGTTACTTCTTAATTTACAATTGATTATTTGTGAGTTTAATTACCCAAGAAAACCACGTAAAGATCACTCACTATTGCTAAACTCCTGAATATTGTCTGAAATCTTCCTAGGGCTAAAAGCCCAAGTGCTCAGATGGGCTTGAGTCCTCAGCCTTGAGCATGCATTGCAGCATGTCCTTTGCTTTAAACATCACAGAAACATCCTCACACTATACCTCAAACACAGGAATGAAATGCATGGTCAGAAATACGGGATCTCTCATTAAATATACTCCTCATCCACCTGCCTTGAAATGGGGGTGGGGCTAACACTCTAATTTTGACCAATTGTTGTTGCTCCATCACAAGTCTTGCTAAACACCAAGATATCTGATCTATTTTCCACCTGCAAGGCACCTGAAAAAATGAGCCCTCAGGATGCTTGATCCCCAGCTTTGTGGAGTCTAGATAACGAGCAGACAACAGACCACCAAAAGAGAAATGTCTGCCTCCTTGTGGACATGGATAGAAATTATCAGACCAAGAATGTGAAGTCCCAGAGTCAGGGTTCCTTAGTCTGGCTTTAGGATATTTTCAGAAGGCCATAGGTGCTGCTTTAAACGCTGGCAACATTTCCCCCCATTCTGAAGCTCTCTTCCTTTCTGTATTTTCTTACTGTTCTCATGGCTGTCTGAGATCCCAGAGTTGGCTATAGTTCTCCTCTAGGCAGAGCCTGAATCCTACTCTCAGCATTGCCAAGGCACACTCCAAATCTTATTATTTAAAACATGAGTTCTTATCCTGGAGCAACTCTGTATAAAGGATGCCAGTATCTCACTGGGAATTTTGTATCTGTAGTAGGCCTGGTTAAAGGCCAGGCTCTAGTTGTTTCTCTCAGTCATAAGTCACCTGCAATAGACAGCAAAGGCTCCTTTTCTCTGGAAATGTGGCTCTGAGTAGAGAACGAGAGGCTTCTCTGGCCCCTCTCCAAAACAAACATGTTTGTTTCAGATTTGGTTTGTTCATACTAGGTTTTGGGGTTTTTTTGTATAGTGGTCATGCATTTTGTAGATATGAGTATATTTTCTTTCTATTATATTTGGAAGATATATTAATTGGTCCATATTCATATAATTTATTTCACAAGAATGCATGTGTTTATTTAGGTACAAATTTATATACAAATCTGTATTCATGCTCTTTATTTTCTATGGTGACTTATGAATTTTACTTGTATAGGTTCTGCAATGTTCATTACATCTATGATTTTTTCACAAGGTGATGTAATATGTTACTATATTAAATCTATGCACACACATGCATAAAATAAACAACATAAGCATTGCCTAAGGAAATTCATAAAATATGAAATTCATATATTCATTCATTCATTCATGAGAAGGATGAGTATGGACTGTTGTTTTTTCATCATAAAGATTTATTTTAGTAGCGTCAGTATCGTGGCATAGCGCCTTCAACAGCCACCTGCAATGCTGGCATCCTATATGGGCCCTGGTTTGAGTCCTGGCTGCTTTAGTTTTGATCCAGCTCCCTGGTAATGTGCCTGAGAAAGTAGCAGAGGATGGCCCAAGTGCTTGCACCCCTGCACCCATGCGGGAGACCTGAAGGAAACTCCTGCTTCCTGATTGTGGCCTGGCCCAGCCTACACCAGCCATTGCAGCCATCTGTGAATTGGACCCATGGAGTACCTCTCTGTGTGTATCAATTCATTTGTGTTGAAGGCATAGTTACAGAGAGATGGAAAGAGAGAGAGAGGTGAAGAGGCAGGAGGAGAGAGAGATTTTCCATCTAGTATTTCACTTCCCAAATGGCTGCAACATTCAGGGCTGAGTCAGGCTGCAGGCAGGAGCCAGAGCTTCATCCACATTTCCCCCATGGGTGCAAAGGCATAAGTACTTAGGCCATCTTCCAGCTTCCCTGAGCAAATTAGCAGGGAGCTGCATCAGATGTGGAATAGTCTGAGATGTAAACCAGATGCCCATATGAGATTATGGCATTGGAGGGGGTAGCTTAATCTTTACTGGCAGCAAATAGAGAAAAAAAACTTCCAGGCAGGCCATTTCCAGCCAATTGCAGCTGCCCATGTCTGCCAGGAACTTCTAGAACCTGGCCCTCTAGCCAAGTACAACCAAAGGTATAGCATTCTTAATGAGATACTGGCTTCTTTGTTATTATTTCCAACAGCATAAGAATTCATCTAGTGGACCAAAAAATGGAATTTGGGATTTTGCCACACAGTGCATTGGGTGGAGTTGAGACTCTATCTTAAAGAAAAGCTACACTAATTCTGAGGTTTCAGGTTCCCCTGCAAACTTACAATACAGAAGGGTAGTTAACACCAGGGTGCTTTCACTGGCTGATACTCTGGGCAGATCAAAAATTTTTATTCTGACTCTTCAATGTTTAGACCTGATGATCTCCAAATTTGTCTTCAGCTTTTCAGTCACATTGCAGGAAGACATGAATCCAGCAACCACCTTGGAATGGCCCACATCCTACTGAAGAAGAAAAGTCTGAGTAGATGAATCAAAAAGTACTGGGGCCAGCGCTGTGGTGCAGTGGGTTAACGCCCTGGCCTGGAGCATCGGCATCCCATATGGGCACCAGTTCTAGTCCTGACTGCTCCACTTTGTATCCAGCTCTCTGCTATGGGAAAGCAGTGGAGGTGGCCCAAGTCCTTGGGCTCCTGCACCCAAATGGGAGACCTAGAAGAGGCTCCTGGCTCCTGGTTCAGATCGGGTTATCTTATTTGCAACATCTTCCTTTACTTCACAATTTTTGGTGCATTCCTTAGAACACACTGGAAAATGAGACCAAAATTTTGACTGGGTAACATTTTGTGGCCCAGTTGAACCTCACCCTTCAGAGTTCCTGGTCTTCTAACTCCCCATTTTCTCATGAACAGTGCAGAGGACAGTGGCAGAGAGGCTAGCCTAGCTCATTTATTCTACTGTAATTTGAGGTTCTGGCCTCACTGAGGTGGCTCCAGCCTTGGAAATGTTGTCACTGGTCCTCCTTGCCCCTCAAGATGCTCAGTGGCTGCACTGAGTATATTTGCTTGTATGATATCTTGGTAGAAATAAGTGCCACTGACCCTCATTGTGTGACTATAAGTGGTCTAGAAATGTCCATATAATGCCTGGCTTCTGGAATCTGAAGAACCCCACCACCTAGATCAATCAATGCTCTAGCATGAAGTTTGACTAGCCAATCTGAGGTGTATGGCACAAGTAGGTTAGCATCCCTTTGGCAGATTTAGCCCATGACAAATCAATGGTTTGACTCCCTCCAAGACATCAAGATCCTTGTTACTGCCTGTGGTTTGAGAAGTTTTCAGGGATGTCTGGCACTTTTTCCTTCCTTCTTTTTTGATCAGGCTGGATTTCAGGCTAGATGAAACACTTTCCCTCTGTTCCTTTCCCAGTACACCTTAATGGGCCATGGTAAACTTTGACTTTCTCATAACCCAGCTCTAAATTTTTGACCTCCATCATTATTCTGTCTCTACTTAAGTTGCCCAATTTTTGTGATTGCATTTTGTGTATCTGGTTTGTCATTTTCCCAAACAGTGGATTCAGAAAAAAAAGTCCTTATGGAGACATTCATCTTCTCGAACCCCATGAGGAATGAGAAACCACCCTCTTCCTCTTTTCAATAAGGCAAACTCATAGGGAGGCTGTCCTCTTGAGTTGTTCTATCTCAGAGCTTATTTCTGACTTCAACCTTTGTCAGTTCCTGGCTACTGAAAGCCAAGTACAAGTGCCCAATTGGATCTTTATTTTTAAATTACAGAGACTGGGATAACCAAATATGTGAAAGTAGTCATATTTATATGACCTAGCTTCAGGTCAGCAAGATTTATAGTTTTATTTTGGCAAAATTTTGATGTATCTGTGTACCTGTTAAAAGATCAGGGAGCATGTATTATGGTACAGCAGATTAAGGTGCTGATTATGGCACACACACCTCATATTAGAGTGTCATTCAAATCCTGGCTACATTCCAGGTTCCAGTGAATGTGCCCAGGAAGTAATGGATTATATCTCAGGTGCTTGAGTCTCTGTCATTCAAGTAGAAGACCTATGTGAGGCTCTAGTTTCATGACTTCTGCACGACTCAATCCCAGCTGTTCTGGTGACTTGGGTATTGAATCAACAGGCAGAAGATCTCTCTCTCTCTCTCTCTCTCTTTTTCTCTCTCTCTCTCTCTCTGTCATGCTGCCTATCAAAAAAT